CCTTTCTGACAACTCGTCAAGAAGAAGATGACCGCCTCATTCAGAAAAGGGGCACATATCCCAAAGCATAACAAAAAGGCAAGAAAGCAACCAGGCAAGAAAGCAACCAGTCAAGAAAGCAACTAGTCAAGAGGAAGATGATCACCTTATTTGGAAGAGGCAATATCTCAAACATTTATGTCAGAAGAAAATCCCTCAAGTTACTTGATAACATTATTGTTTAGTAACACTGGAATAAGAGCATTTAAGATTAACAGATTTTGGTACGAATAAAGCCATGAGTACCCACAATGGAGCATTATTAAAGTTGGATCTCATGGATCACGAGATTCATCAAATAGACATTGCGAGTAAACCCTACAACTTAGAATGTTGGGATATCTAAGGCTCACATTGTATGTGGAGCATGTTGAAGATATTTATCCTTTTTGGGTATTTTTGAAGGCCCATTTCAACAAGGAATTAATGTCTAGATATTTTGGTAACCTAGATCAACCTGAAATATAAATGTTGGCATTTTGGATTCCCATGTTATCCAAAAGAAAATGCTAGAGGCATTTTGAAGGCCTATTTGTGGGGCATTTTTAATGATCACATCAGTATGAAAAATGTTGGGGCATTTTGAAAGCTCACATTAACAAGAAGCAAATACTAGGACATACTGAAGGCCTGTATCATCCTTCAGAAAGATCATTAATTTGAGCAAATATTTTCAATGAAACAGAAAGGTATTAAGAATGAAAATGATGAAACAGTGATAGTTGTATTATCCTGGTAATTGCACCTACATTTATGCTAACAAGTCAAGGAATCCCACTAGTATTCCCAATGAGTTTTGTTCTTTGGTATCCTTGTAACACTATACTATAGCTCTGAACACTATGCAAAACGTTTCCCTGGTTGAAATCTGGGCAGAAGCCACATGAAATGATGAATGTGTTGTCAAATGTTTTACGAACCAGTGATTATGGTGTTGAACCAATATTGTGATCACATGGTTTCAGTTTGTTGACTGTAGATGAGGATTGTATTCCAAAAACCCAAAGTTCAAAGTAAAACAATGATAAAGATTTCTTTCCACGAAGGGGTGGTGGAATTTAAACAACAAGAAACTAGTGGAGACAACTAAGATTAAACAATGGGTTGTTGTTAAACATCTTGACATGATATGGTCTAAATACTTTTGTTCGAGATCTGATTAGATGTGGAGAGATGAAATGAGTTAAGATAGACCTTGCTTTTGATTATGTTTCAAGAGTCAAATCAGAAAAGAGTATGCTTTCCAAAATGACAGATTCTCTTTTCAAAGATAAGAGCCTTATTGGATTTCTACACAAGTTCAGGCAAAGAAGCCAGTTTTATCAAAGACAAAATGGGGCACAAAGGTCATAATTCTAAGTGTGGCAAGAGTTCCATAAATGAAACAGTTCTTCTGAGACTTTAATGTAAATTGAGCCAAAGAATATAGGAAGATGCTAGTTGATCAAATGGCTATTCAGAAAAGAAAGCTTGATAGCATAAGTTGCTACACTAATGGTTAAAGAAAACCCTGGAAATGAATGATAAAGTGGAAGAAGATCAAACATTGGAGTCAAATGAAGATTGAATCAACATTCATGCATTCATAAGAACATCATTTGCATAAAAGAAAATGCATTACATTGATACATTTGATTGCATTTGCATAAACACATTTTTCATATGAGAAAGAGAAGATGATGAAAAAAATACCTTACGAGTATAAGGTAGGATTCAAATCACAAATGAAGGAATCATGTTTGGAGAGCAAAACATCTAAAGAATAGATGGACGCAATCCACAGAGGAAGTATTTTTTTTGGGCATGCCCAACCAACAAGTTGTTTTGAAAATGAGAAAATGATTACCAAAGTTTCTTATTTAATGTTCAAGAAAAATAAATCCTCAGGGTAATTTGTAAAACCTCCGGGTAATTTGTAAAACCTCCGGGTAATTTATAAAACCTTCAGGTAATTTGTAAAACCTCCGGGTCATTTGTAAAACCTTCGAGTAATTTGTAAATCCTTAGAGTCTTTTGTAAGTCTTTCGAGATAGATAATAAGTCCTTAGGGCCATTTGTAAGATCTCCACGGAAGAGTAGTGGAAATAAAGCAACGTATCCAGCCTTCACAAAAGAGTAGTGAAGTAAATCATTCAGCCTTTACGGAAGAGTAGTGAAGTAAAATTATTCAGCCTTCACGGAAGAGTAGTGAAGTAATGCATCTCAACCTTCACAAAAGAGTAGTGAAGTAATTCATCTCAACCTTCACGGAAGAGTAGTGAAGTAAAATCATCCGATCTTCGTGAAAGAGTAGTGAAGTAAGGCAATCTCAACCTTCACAGAAGAGTAGTGAAGTGATTCAATCTAGCCTTCACGGAAGAGTAGTGAAACAAGATCAGATAAATGTTCGATCTCCACGAAAGAGTAGTGGAATGAATTTCCCATCAAAAGCATTAAGTCCACTGGACGAAAATTTCTTGTCTTTTTTTTCTTTGCCCTATTCTTGTTAACACAAAAATGAGCAAAGAGGGGCAACTGCCGACAGTAGTTTTTTTTCTGAGTGTCGTTTCTATTATTTATTATATATATTAATATATTATTACTATTATTATTACTATTAAATTATTACAAGACCGAAGGCCCAGTTACAAAGAAAGGTCTGGAGGCCCGATTAGAACCAGACCCAGTCCACAACCTGGTTCAGACCCAAGTATAAACCAGTTCAGGCCCAATAACCCAACAGGCCCAAGAAGGCCCAAATAAGATAAGGTTTCATCTCAGCTTCTCTGGCACCGCCAGCAGCTCTCAGCCATCCGATCCAGACAAAGATCAACAGCCACAGATCATCCAATAGAAACTCTAGGGTTTTATTACACCCTAGGGCCTATTCCGATCGCCGCCTCTAGCTGCTCCAACCAATCGATTCCACGTCTCCACCACCTTAATGGAAGGCTCCAGAATATCAAGGAGGGTCGTAAACCTCATCGACCTAGGGTGAGTCACCACCGTTGCTCCGATGACTCACCGAAAGGTCATCATTTCGATCGATTTCTAGGGGCTATATAAACCCCAAACCTACAAAAAAAAATATCAAGAAGAGACAGATAGAGAGACTACCATAACGATCCACAACAAGTAGTAAATAACGAAAGAAAAGAGAAAAGAGGAAACTTACCCAACCACTAGAGCTTCCACGCGATTGTTGAAATTCGAAACGCGGAAGGTATTCCTTTAGATCTACTGAGTTTAAGGGACTTTTAGGAGAAAACTAGGCTGAATTTGGATTTAGTATAATAGGGGCTTTATTTTGGTGTATTTTGGTGTTTTTCGGCCATAGTGGGTGGTGGTCGGCGACGGCTGTCGGTGACGGCGCATGGTGGCCGACCGATGTATGAATTCCCTCCGGTGAGGGAATCCTAGAGAGGGACGAGAGCTTCTCTTAAGTAATTTGAGAAATGAGAAAAGGCCCCTCTTGAGTTGGTTTTGGGGTTTAAATTCCCTCCCCGAACGGTGTCGTTTTGGGGAGGGATTGTTTGTGTAATTAGGAAATGGTTAAATCACGTCTGTGGTCCCCCTGGCTCTGTAATTTCACATTTTGGTCACCAAAAGCAGGTTTTTATGTCTTTGAATTTTGTCTTTGAATTTTATTTATTTTTATTGTTGTCACTACTATGTTTTTATATATCTAGGGTAAATAAAATATTTGTTCCCTCTTATTTTAATATTTTATTTTTTAATCCCAAATTATTATTATAGGATTATTTACGCTAATAGTACCTAGCTTTTATAATATTTCAAATTAGGCCCATTATTTTTATTATTTTGCAATTTAAACATCAAACTTAAATATCTTTAATTTTAGTATTATTATTATTTTATTTATACTTTTAGTACTTAAAATATATAATATTTGTAATAGTGACCTAGGATTTTGATATTTTCACATTTTAATCATTATAATTATTATTTGTAATATAGATATTTTATTTTATACAATTTATAATATAGATATTTTATTTTATACAATAAGTCATAAAAAATGTTTCCTTAACTTATTAGGAATATATTTTTAAATGATTATTGGTATAAAATAATATTCCAAATGCATTTTGTGGGATCATAAATTAAAATTAAATACAAATTTGTTAGTTTATTGTAAAGACATTAATTAATGAACAATTGTACCAATTTTGGGCGTTGTGGGGTGCTAATCCTTTCCCACACGTAACCGACTCCTGAACTCATTTCTTGTAAGCATACCTCTTTGTGTTATTTCAAATATTATTCTTAGGAATTTTATTAAAATAACATAGCTTTTTGGTGACCAATCACACCTCAATAAATGATTGGTAGCGACTCTTCAAAATGGTGTTTTATCTTATTCAAGGGAGAAAAACACTTACTTTTTTTAGACAGCTACACTTAGGTGTACTATTTGTTTTTTCGCCGGGCAATAAACGTCTCGACAATAAATATACCAATTCTTTTAACTGCCACATCAACATTTTCGTCAAATATTAACGGCTAGTGGTCTAATTTAACAAATTAAATAGCTAAGTGGTGTGATTCACAAAATTGAAAGATAGGTGGCAAAAGTAAAAGGACTACATAATTAAGTGGTCGAGTAGTTTACCCTTATTTATATTAGTCCTGAAATTTAGATAACATGATATAAATAACATGATTTTAGAAGATCACATCATCATCATCAAAAGAATTATGAAATATTAAAAGATACTATAATGTTCAAATACTAATGTGAAAAATATATAACAATCAAAGTTGAAAAAGTTGCCGATGTTAGGCTAAAAGTTGCTTTATCTGGAAATAAAGAAAGAAAAACAAAATATGTATTTACAACACAATTAACATTAGTCCAGTCCAAACCTGAAACTTTTGCACAAGCCCATGCCAAGCCCGATAGTATTATTTCCTAAGCTCAATTGAAGACTCGAAGCTTATCATGGAGATGCAATTGCAAACTGAAAACTTTGGCATGCAAAATTATAAAAGCAAACGGTTACGCCAACGTCTCCCTCTTTATCTCGCTTCCTTGTATCTCCCAAAAGAAATGAAGGCGTCTTTGAAAGGCAGATACACGAATGACCAGAGCACCTCCGTCGTTACTCTCGCTGTCAACGCCGGTGACGTCAAGTTACTCGCCTCCATGAGTGATGCCACAATTGTCAAAGGTCCCAGGCTCAACAATCTTACATTAACCGTCGAAAAACCAGGCACCTTCATAATCGACTATGATGTCCCCAAGAAGGTAACGCTTTTTAACATGACAACCATTAATTTTTCCACCAAATGAATCACCAAACTCTTAATCATTTGCAACATTTGTAGGATTTTCGGTTTCAGTTTATGAACTTGATCTGGGTTGCGGATAAACCGTTGAAGCTTATTTACAATCACGACCATGGGGGTAACCAGACGGTAATGGACGGGGCATTGGTTTTGGATTCAACGAACAAAGTGTCGGCTAATTACATGTTCGGTACGAGGAACTTGAAGGTCAAATATAGTTACGTGCATGGAGGAGTTTCAGTTTACGAGCCATGTTATGATTTGGGAAAGAATGCGTGGGATTTTTCTGTTTCGAGGAGAGTATTCGACGATGTTTTTAAGGCAACTTATCATTCATGGACTCGAGATTTTGCTTTGGAGTGGTCCAGAAATTCAAACTTTAATGGCACCTTTAAGGTAATCACATCCACACATATCCTTCTTGATTCGCATCAATATGAGACGAATTCTAACCATGATCTTTCCCCCCAGATTTCAGCAACCATCAACATGGATGTAGAATCAAAGGTGCCTAAAATATTTGCAGAGAGTACTTGGGATATGGAAATGTGATTTTGTTGTTTATCAGTCTTTTATCCATTTTGCATGTTTTGAATTATATATTTTTCCGGACAAACTGATTTCATGTTGGAGACGAAATCAAATAGGAAATAAAAGCTTACTCATTAGCCAATGTATTTGCAAAAAGACTCTCTACATTATTCAGCATTAATTAATATTATAAAAAGTATATGTTAAAATCATGACCAGTTACGGGAGACAAGACGCTGGAAGTGATATCGGGCATTAGCATTCTTGTTGTTTAGGTTTTCAACTTCCATCCCCTAAATAGAATTTGAACTTTGAGTATTCAAAGATCGAGGATTACAAATTTTACAAACACAATCGAGGTCTTATTGGCTAAAATATAAGTTAAAGTTTTTTATTTGTTTTTTTTAAAGTTTATTTAATTAAGTTGGTGTCATCGGTTAACTAAATATTAACTTAATTACAAATTATTAAAATAGTTTTCTAATCTTACTATTAACTACGGGTGAGCAAAACTTGGCTCAGCTCAAAAAATTATTTTTTTTAATTATGAGTTATTCGAGTCAACTTGAATTATTAATTAGGTTTTCGAGTTGAGTTGAAATTTTAAAATTTTGAGTAACTCAAAAAACCAAAATTTTGACTAAATATTTTGACAGTTTTACGATTTAGTTACTGATTTCATTTTTCCTTTAATTCATCATTTATTTTAAGTTTGTTTTTATCAAATTTGAACCACATGCTCCTAAACCATCATAGAATGCATATGTACTTTCAATTTCTCTTTTTGATAACAAATTTTCTATTTTCAATTTAGTCCCTCAATTTTTTTTATAATTTGATTATTTCTTCAATCCATCATTTTATTTTAAGTCTGTTGTTTTATCAACTTTGAACCACATGCTCCTAAACCATCATAGACTACATATGTTCTTTCAATTCTATTTTTGATAATTTTTTAATTTTTCAATCTAGTCCCTCAATTTTTTTATAATTTTCTTATTTCTTCAATACATCGTTATTTTAAGTCTGTTTTTACCAAATTTGAACCACATGCTCATATACCACAATAGAATACCTATGTAACTTCAATTCTTACTTTTTTTTTTTTACTAAAAATGTAATATATATCTTGTTATTTATTCCCTTAACTTTGCATTTTACTCAATTAGGTCTTTTGACTATAATTGTTTGCAAATTCTTTCCTCCCATCAATTCCTTAACTCCTTTATACCCTCATCAATTTTTACTCTCAAAATACTTTCTTTAAAATATAATATTATGAATATATTTCATAATTTTAAATTGTGTTTAATATATTATATAACATTTTAATGTGAAAAGAATATAAAATATCTATATCTTATATGGTAAGAGAAAGAAAAAAAATTGGAACAAATCCTTGCCATAATACTATAAATAATTATAATAAAATTAGTATAGAAACTCAATAATCCGACTCAAATTTACTAAACTTGAGACGACTCGAAAATATTCCAAGTTATGTTCAAGTTGTAAAATACAACTCTTCAACTCAAATAACTCGAATTTTTTTACTCAATTCGACTCGGCTCAACTCAACCGAATGCTCACCTCTACTATTATCAAGTGTCTGATTAAGTTGATATTTTCGGTTAATCGAATAACAATCCAATTGAAATTTTATTCAAATGTCAAATATTATAGAAAATGATTAATATTATATGATGGCGTTTTATTATAAATAAAAGGTTTAATGATAATTGAGGTCCTCAAACTTTTCTAAAGAAATTGATGTGATCCTTGAACTTTTTTATGCTCAATGTGACTTTTAAACTGATAGAAAATTAATTTGATTCTTTAACTAACGAAATCAAATGTAGATCATTGTGATGCTAACATGACAGTTCATAACGTTAACGTGATGGTCCATGATATTGATATGGTTTTCCATAGTAAGGACATGACGGTCCATGATGGCTGGCGACATGACGGTCCATGATGGCTGGAAACATGACATATATATTGAATTATATTTTTTATCGGGTTCAAGGATGAAATTGGTTCTTTATAGTTCAAGGATCAAATTGATAGAATATGTAAGTAGCAGGGATCAAATGAGTAGTTACACAAAAATTTTAACTATCACGCCACTTGCTTCATTAATTGTTGATGACTATTCGCGTGATTGACATCACTTAAATACTTAAGTGGTTTGATTAACAAAACTGAAAGATCAATAGTCAAATTAGAATCTTCCTATAGCTATATGGTCATTCTTGCAGTTTACCCTGAAGTAACTTTTTTGGTTAAAGTATAACAATAATCCATAAACTTTTAGGACACATACATTTGATCATCGTACTGTTAAAACTTACATTATAATCACTACACATTTAACTCGTTTTCATTACTATTATTATCGTTAATCATGTCTGATGTGACACTAATCATATCTGATAGAATATGTAAGTAGAAGGGATCAAATTTGTAGTTATACAAACTCTTTAACTGTCATGCTACCTTCTTCGTTAAATGTTAACGACTATTGACTTGATTGACATCATTTAAATATTTAAGTGGTATAATTAACAAAATTGAAAGATCAATAGTCAAATTAGAATATGCCTATAGCTAAATGGTCACTCTTGTAGTATACCCTTATGTAACTTTTTGGTTAAAGTATACTAATAATCTATAAACTTTTAGGACATATACATTTGATCATCGTAATTTTAAAACTTACATTACAATCACTCCACATTTAATTCATTTTCTTTACTGTTATTATCATTAATCATGACTGATGTGACACTAATCATGTGTGATAGAATATGTATGTAGCAGGGATCAAATGTGCGGTTACACCAATTTTTTAACTGTCACGCCACCTTATTCGTTAAATGTTAACGACTATTGACTTTATTGACTTAATTTAAATAGTTAAATGGTCTGATTAACAAAATTGAAAGATGAATAGTCAGATTAGAACCTGCCTATAGCTAAATGGTCACCCTTGTAGTTTACCCTCAACTAACTTTTTTGGTTAAAGTATACTAATAATCCATAAACTTTTAGAACACTTACATTTGATCATCGTACTTTTGAAATTTACATTACAATCACTACACATTTAATTCGTTTTAATCACTGTTATTATCGTTAATCATGTCTGATGTGACACTAATCATAACTTAAACAACATGGCACAAACCATTTCTTTATTAAATTAACATTTTCCAATAAAATAGTTACGTGTATCATCATCACTTTATTTGTAAAAAAATTAGATATATTTCAAACTTAGGACCTTTATCAGTGGGTCCAAATCTTAACCACTACCAAATAAAGTAATTGATATGTGATTGATAAAAAAATATTCTTTAATAAAATAAATGACGTATATCCGATTAGGTGCCCAATTGAAGCTTAATTTCGTTGAAAGTTGAAACATGATTATTTATAGAGAAAATAATCTCAGTGACCGAAAATGCCTTATAATATACAATTTTAACAAACTTTTTTTGGATTTGTCAAAATGTCCAACAAAATCGTAACGCGAACTCTAATTTTTCAACTCAGTTTTCAAATTCGCAACGCGAATATCCATATTCGCAACGCGATTGTAAGATTCTCAACGCGATTTTGAAAAATGTGTTGCAATAGTTAAAATGTGTTGCGAGAGTTTGAAAAACGTGTTGTTACGATAGTGAAAAAGTGTTGCGATAGTGAAAAATCCTAAATAAGTTTACATTTTAACTATTCCAAATTCACGTGGAGTTTGAAACAATAAAGAATGTTTTGCGATAGTGTATAAGATTCCCAAGCCATTTGTAAGATCTTAGTTTGAAACAATAAAGAATGTGTTGCGATAGTGTAAAAGATTCCCAAGTGTTGGCAATGCTCAATCCCACATAGTATTGGAAACACTATTGGGAATGGGTATTTAAGGCTTGGATTTCCCACTTCTTTATTGAGTGGAAGAGAACAAGGGGGACTCTCGCGCACTGCCGCCACCGCCGTCCCGTCTCGGGTCGGGTCGTGGTCGTGGTCGTGGTCGTGGTAATACGTGTCTTCGACACGTCCGCGCGGATACTATCTTTTTAGAGAAAATTCTTAAGAAACAAATGCAATACCACCAGTCGTTGCGAACTTCGACTAACGCAACGTGAACTTGGACTATCGCAACGAATTTGGAAAATCGCAACGCGAACTTCGAACGTGAACTTGGACTATCGCAATGAATTTGGAAAATCGCAACGCGAACTTCGACTATCGCAACGAATTTGGAAAATCGCAACGTGAACTTGGACTATCGCAACGAATTTGGAAAATCGCAACGCGAACTTTGACTATCGCAACGTGAACTTGGACTATCGTAACGAATTTGGACTAACGTAAATTTGGAAAATCGCAACGAATTTGGAAAATCGCAACGCGAACTTGGACTATAGCAAAATCGCGTTGCGAATTTGGAAACTGAGTTGAAAAAATAGAGTTTGCGTTGCGAATTTAAGATCGCATTGCGATTTTCTTGGTCATTTTGGCAAATCCAAAAAAGTTGGTTAAAATCGTATATTATAAGACATTTTCGGTCACTGAGGTTATTTTCTCTTATTTATATCCGATAAAAATTTAATAATTTGATTAATTTTAGAATTTGTGTTCATTTTTCGTATGTATAATGAAATGATCATTTTTACTTGTATGCTTCGTTTAATTGTTAATATGAAATATATATTTATTCTTTTTCATCTTTGTTGAATCGACGGTGGCACCAATTTTGATGTTGATTGCCCATTGTAGGTGTTTTATTGTTATTTTTTTATAGTTTAATAATGGCATACTTCCCTCAATCTTTTGGTATGTTTTCGGTCGTTTGGTCGTTGTTTTTCATTTATCTTTTTTAAGGATTATTTGACATCGTCACAACTGATCAAGATTACGCTTATATGTTATTATGATGATCTTTCATACTTTGGACCCTCGGATTGGATTCGGATACTTGGTTTGCGTCATTGGATAGTTTTTTCACATCGTTAAACTATGATTTATGGTTTTATCGGTAGTCTTTCAGTAGCTTGATCTCAATTGAGGTTCACTTATCGATGCGATTAGATTTATTTCTATATATCCTTGATTGAGTTT